ACCTGATCGTGTAATGCGCAATCGAAAGAAAGGATCTACGTATATTGGAAGAGGAGGAGGTGGCGGATCAGCAGGAGGAAGATCAGAGGAAGCGGAGGACGTGGCAGGAGAAAGTCGAGGAGGAACACCAACAGCATACAGTGAAGGCGCGGCCGCAAGAAACCCTCGCAAGAAACCCAACCCTGAAAACCCGCGCGCGAGGTGCGCCTGAGGGGAATCCGGGAGCGCCGTGAACGCAGCAGCATCTCCAACGGCTGCGGGCAGTCGCCGCGCAGCGGGCGGAGCGAAGAAGCCTCGGATACCCTGACGAAAAACGCATGGTTTCTTGATGCGCGCCCCCACTGTAAGCAGGGGTCGGAGAAGGCGGCAGGAGCAGGACGCCCAGGGGAAAGCGCGAATGCGCAATCGAAAGGAGGGATATACGTGTAATGCGCAATCGAAAGGAGGGATATACGTATATGTTGGAGGAGGAGGTGGCGGATCAGCGGGAGGAACAGCAGCAGCATCAGCAGGGGTCGGAGAAGGCGGCCGGACCAGGACGCCCCGGGGAAGGCGGGAGCGGGGCGGCGGCGACGAGAAGGCACTGGGATATCCCGAGAAGTGTGATCCGCGCTGCGGCGCGAGAGCGACACTCGGAACGAGGGGAGCAGCGCGCCAATCCTGAGGCGACGCCAGCGCTGCAGCGGGCGCACCATTTCGAGACGTCGACAATCTTTAAAACGACGCGAAGATCGGGACAAAATCGGATCGGGATAACTCGAAATCTCTGAGAATCGGCGGGTTTGGAGGATGTATTGGGCGCCGCGGCCGCTCCAGAGCGTTCCGGAACGCTCTGAGAGCGCTCCGGAACGCTCTGGAGCGATTTATCCCGATCCTAGCCCTGTTTTAAATCTTGGCGGCGAGCACAAGGGGGTGGAGGGAGGGGGGAGGGTTTCTTAGAAGCAAGCTGCGTCTCAGAAGGCGCTGGCCTCACGTGTACAGATAAGGCCCGCGCCTCCTAAGAGGCAGGGGTGCTTCTAAGAAGCCCTCCCCCCTCCCCCCACACCCCTTCTGCGCGTGGCCGACACTTGAAGATAGCAGCTGGGATGACCAAATAATGAAATCCTGTGTATGATGAGGGGGCGGAGAGGGGGCGGGCCACTCACCGGCCATCTTCGGGGGAGAGGAGAGCACGATCCATTTGGAGTACTTCTCGAGTGACTGCACAAGGGAAGGTTAACGCGAAGCAGGCCACGCAGGTGGTTTCCCTGGCGGCTTTCTGCGCCCTTGGGCGCCAACGTGCCGAAGGAGGCGCCTGGCGGCGAGGGCGAAACCAGCTGCGTGCAGCAGATGTCGTACCCCCCCATTTCCCTGTCCTCGGGGGCGGGCAACGCTTGAAGGTCCCAACATGGTGTACTAACGGACCGCGTGGTGACCTCGAAGTCCCCAAAGACCTCGCCGCACGGTTCTGGGACCCTGGAGGCCCCCGTCGCCCGAGACGTCCTCGGACAACGAGCGACCCAGATCTCAAAACCGCGCGATGACTCCGAATCTCCACCGACTCACCACACGGTATGGTCACCGCAACCGTTGGGGCCCCCCCGAAACACCCCTGCAACAAGGCATCCACTGGTGGAAACGACCCGGGACCAGGCTCGACGCGAGCAGGCTCGCCAGACGGGTGGCCGCGATGTCCGCTCGAGAGGGGCAACTCGCCGGTCGACTTGGCTTCGCAAGCCTGGGGGTTAGCAAGGCGAGTTGAGGCAACGGCAGCTCGAACCTGGTCCCTGGACTTGGGTCGGGCATGTCCTCCTACAGGCGGACTTTAGCAGAAAAGCACCCCCATACTTCATTTCATTATCAAAAAACGTCCCCTATACTATTTGATGTCCATGTGTTGTAGGAAGACATGCCCGACTGAAAGCCCTGGACCCGTCCCCGGGGTCCGAACGCACCAATCGCGATGAAGGCCAGCTACCGTCAGGTCGGGCATGTCCCCCGACAGGCGGAATTTGAACGACAATTAAGAAATACTCAGCACATGCCAAAACAAAAATCAAACATAGTAGATACAAATCGTCCCCAAACTATGTTTTTACGAGTCCTGGATACTCCTCCTGTAAAGGGACGTGCCCAGCCTAAACCTACCGTGTCATCGAGGAAGGAAGAGCCGCGCAAAATATCAGCTTTCGGAGGTCCGCGCAGATTTCTTGGACCTGCGCTGGATCCCTCTTCCTGGCGCGCGGGGCGCGCCAGGGGTGGCGCCGGACGCGCCGCCAGGAGGACCAAGCCGATCCAAGAGATCCGCACGGAGCTCCGAAAGCTTGTGGGTATCTTGCCGCAGCCCGGACGTCCACTCCCCGTGCCTTATTCGGTTTCGCGCGTGTTTGTTCCCAACCATCCTGTGGTGTTGGGTCCTCGTTTTGAAGAGACGGTGCCCCGCGTTCCTCTCCTTCCTCCTCCCTCCTCCTCCGCCTCCTCCCCCCTCCCATCATCATCATCATCATCATCATCATCATCATCATCATCATCATCATCATCATCATCATCGTCGTCGTCGTCATCATCATCATCATCATCATCATCATCATCATCATCATCGTCACCCACACCCAATTCGGCACACCCCTCACACGTTTCGTGGCCCCATAGGGAGCTCCACCGAAGGCCCCAGGGCTGCCGCCCGCATGCGTCCCCTACACCCATTTCGGCACACCCCTCACACGTTTCGTGGCCCCACCGATAGGCACACGGTGGCCCCATAGGGAGCTCCACCGAAGGCCCCAGGGCTGCCGCCCGCATGCGTCCCACACCCATTTCGGCACACCCCTCACACGTTTCGTGGCCCCATAGGGAGCTCCACCGAAGGCCCCAGCTGCCGCCCGCATGCGTCCCCTACACCCATTTCGGCACACCCCTCACACGCTTCGTGGCCCCATAGGGAGCTCCACCGAAGGCCCCAGGGCTGCCGCCCGCATGCGTCCCCTACACCCATTTCGGCACACCCCTCACACGTTTCGTGGCCCCATAGGGAGCTCCACCGAAGGCCCCAGGCTGCCGCCCGCATGCGTCCCCTACACCCATTTCGGCACACCCCTCACACGTTTCGTGGCCCCATAGGGAGCTCCACCGAAGGCCCCAGGCTGCCGCCCGCATGCGTCCCCTACACCCATTTCGGCACACCCCTCACACGTTTCGTGGCCCCATAGGGAGCTCCACCGAAGGCCCCAGGGCTGCCGCCCGCATGCGTCCCCTACACCCATTTCGGCACACCCCTCACACGTTTCGTGGCCCCATAGGGAGCTCCACCGAAGGCCCCAGGCTGCCGCCCGCATGCGTCCCCTACACCCATTTCGGCACACCCCTCACACGTTTCGTGGCCCCATAGGGAGCTCCACCGAAGGCCCCAGTGCTGCCGCCCGCATGCGTCCCCTACACCCATTTCGGCACACCCCCTCACACGTTTCGTGGCCCCATAAGGAGCTCCACCGAAGGCCCCAGTGCTGCCGCCCGCATGCGTCCCCTACATCAATTTCGGCACACCCTTCGCACGCTTCGTGGCCCCGTAGGGAGCTCCACCGAAGGCCCCAGGGCTGCCGCCCGCATGCGTCCCCTACACCCATTTCGGCCCTCACGCGTTTTGTGGCCCCATAGGGAGCTCCACCGAAGGCCCCAGTGCTGCCGCCCGCATGCGTCCCGTACACCCATTTCGGCACACCCCTTTCCCCCCTTTCCCCCCTCTATTCAAAGTTTACCCTGGGCATTCTGGAGCACAGACTCGCAAGGACAAAAAAACGTGGAATCCCTAAGGCCTCCAGCAGGCGCGAAGCCAACTTTGAGTCTGGGGGAACGGGGGGGAAGGGGAAGGGGGGGTCGAAAACGAAGGGGTCCTTAGAGGGCCTTGGAAACGACAAGGCCTTGCTTTACTGGTTCCGTTTTGCCGTTTTGTTGCCGATGGCGACGCCGTTATTTTAAGCGGTTCCGTCGCCGTCTTGTACCGGCTCCGGCTCCAGTTCCTTTCCCGGAGCCATTGTTGTTGCCGTTTCTGGTCGCCGCTTTTTGGTCGTCTCCATTTTCAAGAGACGCTTTTTTCGGAAGCGGTGGAAAACGGCCCTGCCGTTTCCGGGGCCCACTACCCTGATCATTGGATACTGATTTGCTACCGACGAGATCGGTCGCTACCGATTTTGCTTCAAATTCGATATCGGTCGCGACCGACTTTCAACATCGTTCGCGACCGATCGGTCGCGACCGATCGGCTGCGATCGGTGGCGACCAGCCGCGACCGATTTTGGGATCGGTCGCGATCGGTCGCGACCGGTTTGGAGTGCCGATCGGTCGTTACAGGTCGCGACCGAAAAAAAACGGTATCCAATGATCTGGGTAAGAGGGGGTCCACTTTTTCTGTACTTGCTTCGGCGACCCTGGGTAAGAGTGACCTCTGGTGCGCGGCTTCTTGGGGGCCGCGGGGGACCACACACAAGCGCGCAGGAGCTCACTGCCGCACCTCGCTCGGCGATCGGGGGACCCCTGTGGGCCCGCACCAGAAGGCCACTCTGGCGAACGGTCACTCCTACGTGATGGTCGATTGCTGTCCCCCTGCCCCTGCACGGTTTCCCCCGGGGCCGTAGGCGACCCGAGGAGGAGGAGGAGGAGGAGGAGGAGGAGGAGGAGGAGGAGGACGAGGAGGAGGAGGAGGAGGAGGAGGAGGAGGGGAGGAGGAGAAGGAGGAGGTAGGAGGAGGGAGGAGGGAGGAGGGAGGAGGGAGGAGGGAGGAGGGAGGAGGGAGGAGGAGGAGGAGGAGGAGGAGGAGGAGGAGGAGGAGGAGGAGGAGGAGGAGGAGGAGGACGAGGGGGAGGAGGAGGAGGAGGAGGAGGAGGAGGAGGGAGGAGGGAGGAGAGGGAGGGAGAGGAGGGAGGAGGGAGGAGGGAGGCGGGAGGAGGAGGAGGAGGAGGAGGAGGAGGAGGAGGAGGAGAAGGAGGAGGAGGAGGAGGAGGAGGAGGAGGAGGAGCGGCCCGGTCCTGTGCAGCACGCCGTGCGCGTGGCAGTGGCGGAGCGCCAGGCCGATCTGGGCGGCCCAGGCGAGCACCTCTGCCGCCGGGCGCTTTCGGCCGGCGGGGGGGGCACGGCGGGGGGCGTCTCCCGGGGGCTCGGCGAGAGGGGTGCGCCTCCTCCTCCTCCTCCAGCTCCTCCTCCTGCTCCTCCTCCTCCTCCTCCTCCTCCTCCTCCTGCTCCTCCACCTCTCCTCCTCCTCCTCCTCCTACTCTCTCCCTACCTCCTCCTCCTCCTCCTCTCTCTCCATCCTCCTCCTCCTCCTCCTCCTCCTCCTCCTCCTCCTCCTCCTCATCCATTCCTTTCCTTATGAGAAACTTCTCCCTGTCGAACCCCAAGGCCAATTTTTAGCGCGGGCCGGGCGTTTCGCCTGAGACTTCCTCACCATTGACGACTCCGGAGCTTAGAAACATGGCAACAGCTTCACAGATTGATGGCGGGTGGTTTTCAAAATGCGGCTCTCGCCTTAGCGCCGCGCACATTCATTTCAAACATTTGCAAGAGTTTTACGGATTGAGGTCGGGTCGTTTTCAATATGTGGCTCTCGCCTGAGCGCCGCGCACATTCTTTCCAAACATCTGCAAGAGCTTCGCGGATTGAGGGCGGTTCCTTTTCAAAATGTGGATCTCGCCGTGCCGCCGCGCACCTTCGTCTTAAACATCCGCAAGAGTTTCACGTGTTCCCATGATCAACGTGCCAGAAAATAGTGCTTTGCACGGATTCGCGATTATGCGGGTGCAACAGTTATGTTTATTCGTGGTGCTGAAACCCCAGGAATGGCGTTCATGCTTCAAGGTCTTCAAACGGTTGCCTCCCAACGAGGCAGTCCCCTCAATGGACATGAACCGTTGTAGGGGCCTATGAAGAGGGAGCTTGCAAGGAGGGTTAATTCCAAAATCGTTGATGACTCTTGGGTTTACACTGGTCCTCCTCCTCCTTCTCCTCCTCCTCTTCCTCCTCCTCCTCCTCCCCCCTCCTCCTGCTCCTCCTGCTCCTCCTCCTAGTCTCTTCCCCCCTCCTCCCGTCCCTGCCCCTGGGCCCGCCAGAGAAGAGGGAGGCGAAGGGGTGAGGGCGCTCCTCCCTCTCCTCTCCTTTCCTCACCTGTCCTGCTCCTGGCTCCTGCTCCTGCTCCTCCTCCTCCTCCGCCTCCTCCTCCTCCACCTCCGCCTCCTCCCTCTCCGTTCCTCCGCCGCCGCCTCCGCCACCAACGTCACCGCCGTTGTCGCTGCCACCGTGCGGCGGCGACACCGACGTTTCACGGGCTGCTGCGCGTGTGCAGCCGTGGCTGCGGGGGAACCCGCCGAGGGCCAAAAGGCCAGGGCGGATGAGGCTCGCGCAGCGCACGAGGATGGAGGCGGAGGAGGAGGAGGAGGAGGAGGAGGACGAGGAGGAGGAGAGGGAGGAGGACCAGTGTAAACCCACGACTCATCAACACTGTTGCAAGACCCCCCCCCAATTCCCCTCTTCAGAGACTCCTATCAAGATCGACTTGCACTGCGGGAAGAGGCCCCGTTGGAAGACGACCGTCTGAAAACGTTGAACCGTGCCAGGGCACCATTCCTGGGACCTCAATGCCGCGAGTTAACGTTTCTACTGCGACTGGACGATCCTGAATCGTACCACAAGAACAAAATGTTGGGGAACCCCGCAAATCAGCGTGCTGTCGCGCCCTCACGACAGCACATCCTACAAAAACCACAATCCCACCAGCCCTCTGGGCGTCGGTGGTTTAAGGAGTTTCCTCTTCCACCCCTCCTTCTTCCCCTTCGGGGAGGGGTTTACCCCTCCCCCTACCCCCTCCCCAATGACCTGGACAGGGGGTTCCGCGGCGCGTTGGAGCGCCCAAGACGGCCTCGGCGAGGAAGCCAAAATCATTGATTTTACTATGGTTTCGGCCCCATTTTGGCCTTCTGAGGGGGGGCCTGAAATTTAGGAACCCCCCTTCTTTGATCGATTTCCTCGACGATGGCCGCAAGAGGCCCCCAGGATGCCCCAAGAGGCCGCAGGATGGCCCCAAGATGGCCCCACGAGGCCCCCCAAGAGGCCCCCAGGAGGCCCCCAAGAGACCCCCAAGATGCCCCAAGAGACCCCCCAGAGGCACCCAAGGTGCTCCCAGAGGCCCCAAGATGGCCCCAAGAGGCCCCAAGAGGCCCCCAGGAGGCCCCAAAGAGGATTCCGAACGGCCCACAGAGGCCCCCCCGAGGCGCCCAAGACGCCGAAAAGCCCCTCAGGACGACCCTCTACTCGCCTGGGCGTCGTTTCTGGACGGGCTGGTGGGGATACGCGAAGCGTCTAGAATTTCTGAGACGTGAACCGTAAACATGCTTAAAACTTGTGAAGCATGTTGAAACGAACGTGCGCAGTCCTAGACCGCGAGCCATTTTTGTAAACCTCTTCCAAACTGTGCGTCTTGACGATGCTGAATCGTGCCAGAACGCTATTCCTGGGATTTCAACACCGCGAATCAACGTAACTGTTGTACTCCGACCATCCTACTTCGCTCCAGATCACAAGTTCTGTTACATTTGCCATGGGAAGCAAGGGAACCCTTGCACTGTTTAGCAATACTTGTCCCTGGCGCTGAGGCGAGAGCCACATTTCGAAAAGGAACCGCCGTCCATCCGTGAAGCTCCTGTAATGTTTTACGGATAGTGTGCGCGGCGCTAAAGCGAGAGCCGCATTTTAAAAGCGGCCTGCACTCCATCTGTGAAATTGCTGCCAGCTTTGACGCTGCAGGGTCATACGCGGTAGGGAGGTCTTAAGCGAAACGCCCAGCCCGCCCTTCCGACCGGCCCCAGGGTGCGACAGGGGGAGATGCTTTATAAGGAAAGGGAAAGGAGGAGGAGGCGGTGAAGGAGGCGGAGGAGGTGGAGGTGGCGGAGGAGGAGGAGGAAGGAGGCGGCGACCGCGACAGCGGCGTGGGGCACCGTGGGCTCTGGCAGCCTGTGCCCCTCGCGGGCGCGCAGGATGCGCCGGAGGTCGCCTCCCGCGCAGAACTCCATAATGAGGCCCAGGACGGCCCCGCCCTTGCAAAGGACAACCTCTGGGGCAAGAAAGGGTACTCTGGATGGGGTATCTGCCAGAGGGGGGGGATTAACCTTCCGACGGAGCTTACCCACCCCCCCCCTTCCTCCCTCCTCCTCTGTCTCCTCCTCCTGCTCCTCCTCCTCCTCCTCCTCCTCCTCCTCCTCCTCCTCCTCCTCCCCCGCCCCCCACCCCCTCTCCACCTGTTCTCAGAACGTGCCCAGACCCTTTCCGCGGATTCATGGGGGAGGGGGGCGATTCTTGTCCAATCCCGATTATACTGATGCCGCTGCTCCTAAGATCCTCTCCAGGGGAGCGTGCTGAACAGAATTTTCAAGCGGGCCCTCACGTGGCGACGATGGCCTCCCAAGAGGCCCAAAGAGGCAAGACCGAGGCAAGGGTGACGGCATCGATAGCCGCAAGAAGCCATTAAGGACCCCCCGGGCGTTATCATTAGCACAGCACCGTAATTAATTAATTCTGGGGGGCGGTTTTCGCCGAACGATCTGATTGGCACCGCGCAGATGGAACGAAAAAAAAAAATCCCGCGCCCCAGCTCGGGTGGTATCCCAATTGGAATTGCAAGAACAATCGTAATAATAATACAATACACGCAATAATAATAAAATGTAGTAGAAGAATGTGAGTAACAATAAGAACAATAATACTGATAATAACAAGAATAATCATGCGAATTAGCAGTTCCTGAGGATGTCTCAGGCGAGGCACTTTTTCCATAACCACAAGGAGACCATATTGCGAGAATGTCTCAGGCGGTTTGCTTGTTTCGGCGAGCAGACTCGTCTGCATTCACATAACGGTGCGAGGTGCCAGGGTAACCCCTCTGGGGTGCCGGGTGCGTTGTACTTTCGCCGGGGAGGGGGGGGGTCTTACTTGCTTCTTGCGGTTAGCTTCCTCATCGCAACCTCGGCGTACTGCACGATCAGCGGGCAGCTCCGAGAGATCCGCCGCATCAGCAGCGCTTCGCTGAACGCGGATTCCCGCCTCTCGGGGCCGACGTCTGCCAGCGGCAGCTTCTTGAGCACCCGTTGCCTCCTGCTCCGCGCGGCCTCCACCAGGTAGGCCTTCCCGAAGGCGCCCTGGCCGATGGCCCGCACCTTGCGGTACACTGGCAGGTTGCGGGCCAGGCGCGCCTCGTCGGCGAGCTCGACGAAGATGCTGCCCTTCCAGGGGGGAGGGCGTCGTGACACCGCGGCAATTGGCCATCGGGGGCCCGCGCGTCGCCGCGGCTGGGCGCAGGTCGGAAAACTGGTGCGGTTGGACCCCAGGAAGGCCCGGGAACCGACTTTGAGCTCCCGCTGTCCCAGCTCGCTCTTGCAGGGACCACAGCCACATCAAGGGCACGCCTTGGGAGATGTGTTGCGCATGCCAATAGTTGCCAGAACACCGACACCAGCTCAGACCTGATTATGAGTCGACGTGGGCGTCCCAAGGCGGCCAAAAGAACCACAACACCAACCAAAGTGTTCATGCCGGGATCGAGGTCAATGGGCTTTCACCCCAAAGGTCCCTCAGGAAAAAGATACACTTGGTTGTGTTTGTGGTTCTTCCCCACCCGACAAGTCGAGTGTGTAAAAAAGAGCTCCCGCCTACCACCCTGCATACCGTGGTAACCAGACCCCGCAAGATCCTGGGTATCCCTGAGAATCCCGCCTCGTGTCCTCGACGAATGACGACGCAATACCGCGGTCGCAAGGCCTCCTGAAATCCGGAGAATCCATAAATATCCCGCCTCGCGCCCTCGATGAATGACGACACTATGCCGCTGTCGCCAAGACCCACCGAATTTCTGGAATCCCTGACTGTCCCGTTACGCGTCCTCGACGAATGACGACATCCTGCGTACCAGACAGCCCCGAGGGGAGGGGTCACGGCGTCACGCCGTCCAAGCGTCACGAAGCATGAACAAAGAGGCATGCAGAAC